TTTTCCTGTTAGTAAGCGCTGTGATAGTGTTGATCGCCGCTCTTAATATGGTCCTAAATTGGTAGCAGCGTTTCAAAAATGTGGAACAATCTGTTCAGTTTCTGCATTTGTTAGATTTCTCCAATAAATAAAGCACAAAAAACGGGATACCTCCTTTCCTTCGACAAGGTAGTCGGGCGATGACGAGAGTGAGAATAATGAAAGTGGTTGTGAGCGTTTGTTATTGTGTAACCAACCGCAGCATTCTTCAGCGTTCTTAAGCGACATCAGGGGCCGTAAGGTATGCTTCCCCGAATGGTTGCGGGGACGAAAAGTCCCTTTAAATTTTTTGTTTTGAACGATACTGTTTCTTTATTTTCAATGCATGTTTACTTTAAGCTACACACATATATTAAATGTAGGCCCTTTATCAGGACAATCCCAGTTGGGAAGACAGAGAAAATTTAAAGGGATTTTCGTCCCCCAACCCTTCGGGGAAGCATACCTTACGGCCCCAGAGCTCGCTTTCTTCGCCGTTTGGTTACCACGAGCGCATACCCTGTTGCAGGCTCACTACATTGTACTCCTGTTTTTGAGTGAGTTATTGGTATGGGAGCGGTTTTCGAGGCCTGATAGTACCTGCACATCGGCTCACGCCGTAGTTTTCAAACAACCCGAATACCTTCTCAAAAAGCCCACACGTTATTCAGTGAAATTTATATTATAATCAATTCACATGAGTAGTCCATTTCATTCAATTCAATTCAATTTCATCCACAGCTACGCTTTTTTGGAATTCGGTTAGGAGCTTGTTTCCATTGTGTCTCCATTCCTGAATTCGTAGCAATTTCTATAGTTTCCCTTGAGATAGACATTTTCAATCATAATCACATTTTTCAGCCGGCAAGCGCTAGAGGTACTGGTATAAGCGTCACTCGGAAAATCAAAGACATACCTGAAAAGACTCAACTCGTGGCGCAACCCACCCACCCCTACATCCCTGAAAAGACTCAACTCGTGGCGCAACAGTAGGTTTTTCGGCTATCAGCTTACATGGAGGTCTTCATGTTGTTGAAACGGGGTTTAGCATCATTACAGATTTTTATTAGCGCATAACAAACTACCGTATTTAGCTATGTGGATCGTCCACTGACGATAAACGGAGCGAAATTCGACCTTCGTCTCTATGTGTATGTCCCATCGTTGGAGCCATTGCGTATTTACATTTACGAGGAAGGATTGGTGCGATTCGCGAGCGTGCCGTGAGTGCTTGTTACTTGTGTTTTTGTTTTCGATGAGCTCATTGTTAGGGGGGAATGTTCTCCAACTCTAATTATGTGGGCGATCGGAAGTGACGAAGTTTAGCTAAGCGGAAGATCAATTACCTCAGAGGGTTTAAAAAGTGTTGTGGTGAAGAGGACAAGGGAAATGGCGTTGGTGTTTCCGCTGCGGACGATTCACTTACCACGGCAGAGATTGATCGGAATTACATACATCGATGGAAAGCCAGCAAAAATCGCTTTGGTTGTTTTTTCCTTGCTTTTTTGAAATGGAAAGCGAATAGTATGGGAAAAGTGGCAGCTCATGTGGTTTGAAGCACGAAGGCGGTGAAAAAAAACGGGTAAGCCTCCTCGGACATGCCAATCATCGCGGATCTATCACCTAGTTCCCCTTACGAGCCGAGATTTCCTTTACCGTAAACTTACCCTAATTTCCGGTTATAAGCCCGCGCCGATTTCACGTAAAACCACCTCCGCTCGTGCAGTGTAATTTTGTACACCTTAGAAACTACCGTAAATTTGCCTATAGAGGTAATTCGATGCCCTGATCACGAAAATGACTTTCATTTTTAGCGGTGGCGCCATCTGGCGCCAGTTGGCGTCACCTTGTCACGACACCTGTTTTCACCAAATTTGGTGTAAACTTCCGTATAGGGGTTATTTGGTGTCCTGATTACGAATATGACATTCATTCTCGGCGCTGGCGCTATTTTCTGCTCGTCTGCGCTCTCCAACCGAGAAATATGCGTTGAACAACGTTAATGCCAAAAACGAATGTCATATTCGTAATCAGGGCACCAAATAACCCCTATACAGAAGTTTACACCGATTTTGGTGAAAACAAGGGTCGTGACAAGGTGACGCCAACT